CATATCGGATCTAAATCTAAACTGTTTTGCTGCTAGTTTCAGCTGTGCGGTGTTATTTGATAGCTTTACGTGTAAAGGGATTCAAGTAGCTTGTGTGGATCATGTGTGGATCAAGCACGACAGCAATCGGCACGCTCTCGGCGGTTGTCGACGAGCACCCTTTCATCTGTCCATATTCCACTTCCGAATGGCATTCTCTTCACGGATATTATGCTGACTGCAAAACCGCATGTCGCTTAGTGTTAATGCATTGTACACATCCAAACACAAACCGCAAGCTGGGCCAGCTCAAAGCAAAGGTAATTGTGATACATTTTAATGAAAGCAAATTGTCTAGTCCAGACTCTATTATTTACAGTTGTCATATAGCTAGAGTATTTCTAACTGAAACAAATGAAAACAGCAACATATGGTTGTATTAGACCTAATCATAACCTTTAACTGTATTGTGTATTAATGAGTATTGGGGCGGTGGGGTAGCCACGTGGTTAAAGCGTTTGCTCGTCACGCCGAAGACCCGGGGTCGTTTCCCCACATGGGCACAATGTGTGAAGCCCATTTCTGGTGTCCCCCGCCGTGATATTGCTGGAATATTGCTAAAAGCCGCGTAAAACCAAACTCACTCACTAATAAAGTGTATTACCTCATATATGCAAATCATGTACATCATAACAAAATACAATCAAACAATCATTTATATGAAACTCTATACGAGCATACCACTTGGAATTGGTCCTGTCAGTCAGAAAAATAACCTCATCTCCTACTCCAACGACAAACCACTTGGCGGAGCATGAACGGAGTCAAACGAAGTTTACCGAATGTTGCTTGTTAGAGAGCGGAGCAGTACTCCCACGCTGTCTGTCCGATCACAGTCGACGCTCTACAAAGGCTACTTTGTTGTCCATTAAACGATCAAATGGCTGGACAATATGACCGGGATGCCCGTCAGAGATTGATGATCAAGTGAAAGGGATTCTGCATCGATTGACAAGATGTTGACAGGCCGTGGTGACAGTTTGGTTAGGTCTGGAAAAGCTTAGACGAATCTGGTACGAAAGTGGCGTCCGTAATTGGCGTAATTAGTAAACGATCTACCTACAGACAGATTAAAAGCCAAAATAGCATCAACGACGTCTGAAACTTCAACACCTTTAATGACTTAATCACTAAGTTATTTTCTTTTTATACTTATTACTTCGGTTGCATTTCGATTCAATTCACTTAGAGCACTTTCATGTCTCAAGTAGGTGATCGTAGATAGGAAATCAAACAGTATAATGTTTTATGTTTCTATTCAACTGCTAGTTTAGACATGATATGTGAACCAAGTTAATCCCCCCTAAATTGCCATTATGGGAAATATAACGGTGGGACGTACAGTGATTACGTCACAACTAATAGTAAAGGGGCTATATTACAATTGCCCGTGAATATATCAAACTTGACTTATATTAGGATTATATTACAATCCGTTAAGTGAATGTCTAACAGTTTCCCGAAAAGTATAATAACAGTTTTCCGTAAAGTGAATGTATCAAAGCTTCCCGTGAAATGAATATATCACACTTGCCAGCAAAGCATTCATACAGGTCTGTAAAGAGAATGTATCACAGGTTCCCGTAAAGTGAAAAGATCACAGTTTTCCGTAAAGTGAATATTTCACGGTTGTCAAAATGAAATGTTTGAAACAGTATATCTTATTGGCTTCCAACGTCATGTGAAGTCAATACATCGAGAAGTCTGTAAACTCCGTGCATCAGAGTTACTTGTAAAGTCAGTACATCGAGAAGTCTGTAAACGCCGTGCATCAGAGTTACTTGTAAAGTCAATACATCGAGAAATCTGTAAACTCGTGCATCAGGGTTGCCTGTAAAGTCAGTACATCGAGAAGTCTGTAAACTCCGTGCATCAGAGTTAATTGTAAAGTCAGTACATCGAGAAGTTTGTAAACACCGTGCATCAGAGTTACTTGTAAAGTCAGTACATCGAGAAGTCTGTAAACTCGTGCATCAGAGTTACTTGTAAAATCAGTACATCGAGAAATCTGTAAACTCGTGCATCAGAGTTACTTGTAAAGTCAGTACATCGAGAAGTCTGTAAACTCGTGCATCAGAGTTGCCTGTAAAGTCAGTACATCGAGAAGTCTGTAAACTCGTGCATCAGAGTTGCCTGTAAAGTCAGTACATCGAGAAGTCTGTAAACTCGTGCATCAGAGTGTGGCGTTAAACAACGAACAGTCAAAGACATAGGAACAGGCCTACTCGTCTAACGCGATGACTAGAGAGCAGCTGGGCATTGGTGACCCGCCATCTCAAGTTTCCACTAAAACTGTAATCATGGGTTTGTCAGCTCCACATCCCTGCAAGGGGCGATGGGGTAGCCTAGTGTTTAAAGCATTCGCTCGTCACGCCGAAGACCCGGGTTCGATTCCCCACATGGGTACAATGTGTGAAGCCCATTTCTGGTGCAGGAATTGCGGGATGTTAGACGACCAGGCCACTCTCAACCAGATCCCCCACCCCACACCACCCACCCTAGAGCGTAGTACCATGGCCTCTGAAGCATCTCACGGCAGTAAATATTGACACATGTCAAGTTCGTAAACCGATGCTCATGCCGTTGGTCACTGGCCTGTCTGGTCCAGACCGCCGCCATGTACCTGGAGTATCTAGGTGAGTACGGAGTTAAAAAAGATATTGACACATTTAGATTATACCGGGTGTCAACACCATAATGAATAAAAAGGCCTGAAAAGTTTCAATGACAAAAAATACTACTTCCCCAACATGTATCGCCCCCGCTGTGTTTACCATTACTCCTGCTATCGACCAGTGGCATACCGGGACAATACCTACATGTACGGCCGCTGTGATACAGCTGGTATTCTGTAAACAACGCCCTGTTGACGTTCATATCATATTCCTGACAGCATCATCGGCATTACGGCGCATCGAGAAGCACTTTGTCCACAGGGAACAGGTAACCTTTTCAAATTGATTTGATCGCGACACAAGTAGCAACTGTTATGCATCAAATGTAATTACAATTCCCCGGAGACAGATCGCTTTTCTTTCCCAATGGTAATTCGATTTTAAGTTGCGCACAACACGCAAACATAATTTGCAATCTTATTTACTTCAGTCTGATTTAAGACAATCCCTGACTTGGTTAAGAGCCTGGAAATAAGCAGGGTGCCTTGTCCGTGTCTTTTGTTTACGAAAGTCTAATTACACGTGAAACTCATTCCCAAACTTTCCTGGAAGATGTGAAAAAAACGAATTACATGTTTTTTGCACTGAAATCTCTGTTTAAAGTGGGAAGCCTTTCAGTTTAAGCTGGATGCATAACACAGCCTTGGGCAGTATTTTAGTCGACAGCGTGGGTGGAAGGAACGCTGAAGGTAGCCAAACCCTTAGATGTTTACTTTGGTGAAGCAATCAATCCTTCAGATGTTTACTTTGGTGAAACCAAGATTTGTGCTGACAGATTTGATATGGCTGATACAGAATTCGATTTCAGAATCCTGGCTTCTAGCAAAGGGGCTGTCCAGGTAGCAGTTCCTCCCGTTCCCCCATCCCAAATAATATTTATAAATATATTAAAATTATTAACAAATCTTAACACAACCATTACTAGAGAACTCACAAAATGACTAAAAGTCCAAAGGTTTAGGGTTAGGCATAGAGTTAGGTTTAGGGTTGGGGGAACGGAAGAAGCTCTTTCCGCGGCCCACCCTGGGAACCTGAGTTTTGTGGTCTCTTCACCATTGTGCCAGCCCCGCTCCTATATGGTCAAGCAAGCATACATACATACATACATACATACATACATACATACATACATACATACATACATACATACATACATACATACATACATACATACATACATACATACATACATACATACATACATACATACACACACACACACACACACACACACACACACACACACACACACACACACACACACACACACACACACACACACACACACACACACACACACACACACACACACACACACACACACACACACACACACACACACACACACACACACACACACACACACACACACACACACACACACATACATACATACATACTAAATGTTGCGTTATGCTTCATATAGAATATCTTTTCAAGTACACTGATCAAGATTTAATTCTTAATTACAGTATAATATATAATGTCAGTTTGCTCAACCAAGTCTATAAGATATGGATCTATTATCGTAATCAACAAAACCAGAATTTCAAGAAGACATTTAATGTTATTGATTTGATTAAAGCTCAGGGTCTTTTTAATGTCATTACTCTATAAGGTAACTGTCAGTAAATGGTAAAATCACGAACAATGCTGGCTGATTAATCAGTGCAATAAACAAATGCAATTATCTAGTGGTGCTGGGTCCGATATTTTACGAGCGCTTCCATATATATTTCATGACCTCGGAAAAGAGCTCATGCAAAACAGCTTCTAAACATCCAACCTATGAGATCTGGATGACCTGTTTCTCCGATGTCAGCATTCTGTGTGGTTAAATGTCTAGTACTGGTGTTTAATATACCATGTGTATAACGCTTTCTTCATCATAAGTATTTAGTCCCTCTGGGTCTCACTGCATGGTTATACAGCAGTCATGCCGTTTTTCAGCTTTGTGGCTTCTGCGACCCAGTCAAACATGAAAGGAGTGAAGACATACTACTCCAAAGAAGTTACAGGACATCCGCGTGAGTGAGTGAGTGGGTGAGTGAGGATTTACGCCGCTTTTAGCAATATTCCAGTAATATCACGGTGGGAGACACAAGAAATGGGCTTCACACCCAGTCACTATTGATATCACTTAAAATGAAATGTTAGAGTAACTTTGAAAGCAACAAAAACAATGGTTATTTGTTATTTCTGTATGAGTAGTATACAAATGGTCTTGCCCTGAGGTCACATCACTGGATCTTTTAGCCCCGGAAAGTAAAAATATGAAAACCTGGGTCAATATATACATGACTTTATTCACAAAGTGTTTTGTACACATATCTCACAGTACAATACAGTGACAATGCCCTGTCGTCACTGTTAGTCATAACATAACAACCACATGACGGAAATACTTCAACAGCTGATAAACAATGACAGTCACACCAATCACTACTTTTTCCCTGGTTTCTTCTTCCCCCCCTTAGACTTGAATCCCCCTTTAGACTTGACTCCCCCTTTTGGCTTGAAGTTTCCCTTAGACTTGACTCCCCCCTTAGACTTGACTCCCCCTTTTGGCTTGAAGTTTCCCTTGCCCCCCTTCTGTCCCCGCCGAGACTTCCAGGAGTCCCCCTTGATCCACTGGTCCCTCCGAGCCTCCCACTTGAGCTGCTTTGCACCTGTAACAGAGGGGCGAGGAGGAGGTCAGCAAGCACCATAACAACATGCCTCACATATGAAAGTATCACCTACCCGGGTCATTTTTTACATGTTAATTTATAAAGATTTTTCAGAATTCAACTCATGTTATCTATAAGTTCTTCAAGTTACAGGTTCACCTCCTCTTCATCCGGTTTGGAGAAAATGTTTAAACATGAACAAGTCTTCAAAATTTAGTCTTAGGACTTGTATACTAAATTCAGGCAAGTCAGATATGAATGTCCTGGCGTGAGGCTAGATAGATGACTGCTGTCAACTTACTTGAGTTGTCTGTGTTGGACATGTCGTGGGTGCCCCCTGCCAGCAGGGCCTGACCCCCACCCCCCTCAGTGTCCAGCAGGTGGGAGAACTCCTCCGCCGCAGCAAACAGACTCCCACTGTCGTGTCTGGAAACATGATGAATATACATCAACAACTAGCCATTTGCTAACAAGAAGAATAACTAAAATCTCTTTTTCGTTCACTTCACTGATTGGATCAACCCATGAAGATCCATGTTAGAATTGGTCTTCAGCAACCCATGCTTGTAAGAGACGACTAACGGGATCAGGTGGTCAGGCTCACTGACTTGGTTGACATGTCATTGTATCCCAATTGCCTTGATCGATGCTCATGATGTTGATCACTGGATTGTCTGGAGCAGACTCGATTATTTACAAACTGCCGCCATATAGCTGGAATATTGCAGAGTGTGGCGTTAAACAACAGCCAACAAATCAACCTGACGGAATCACAGACAAAAGCTGGATGTTTGGTTATTTGTTTGATCATACATCTGCCAACCTTATTTTCATCAATATTTGAAACTCACTTAGACTTGTCCTTCTTTCGTTTTCGCTGAGTGGGCATGAAGTCGTCTTCACCAATATCAGCTCCTCTCTTTCGACTACTCACACCTTCCAAGCCATCTGTAATTCACAAACATGACAAGTTGTCACCATTGCTGATCACACTTCACACAGGTTGTCTTACAGTTAACAACACCACACCTCCCCCGGGTGTTTCCACTCTCTATTATAACCATACAGGCCAGTAAATCACTTGGACAGGTAGATTTGGGGTCTGTCAGACCTTGTTTCCATCAGGAACAGGGATTTACCTAGCATTAGATCTAACACCTTGCAGTATACACTGTCTCTGAAAGTTGTAGATTTACCGTTCCTAGCTTGGCATTTCCCAAAGGTCCAACACAAATGGATTAACAAGGGACGGTAATACACTACCACTGTCCAAACTGGCAGTATGGGAGACAGTAAGATAGAGGGCAAAATAAAACTATGTTTGGTTATGTAGTATTTCTGCATTCTCAACTCTCTCAATTTCTCAGTGAGTGGTTGATACAAAATCAATATGAACTAGGATTGCCTCCTGGGCAATACTGACAGTCTTCAGACTTCCCTATACACTCCCCGTGGCGATCTTTACTTATACTGTTTCTTTGGACCCTAACTGGAGTGTTGATGACAGTGTTATTGAGATTAATTTGGCCCTGATTCAATGCTGCGGACACAGACGGAATATTCACAAACTGCAGAAAAACAAGCAGGAACGCACAGTCAAACAAAGGAATTGAGCAATATATACAGGCATATACAAGAAGAGAGATAACTGGTAAATGTTGCTAGTTAAGCGCAATGCTCTTTAGGCATTGGAAAAACCAGGAAGTGGGGATTGTTGCTAGATTTTATTGACGCTTCCTTCAGCTATCTGAACACTAACAAAATGCAAAACATCCTAATGTTGGTGTCGTAATTGTGACGTAATTATTGAGTTTTACAGAACAATAATGTGAAGCAAAAATGTCTCCTGTTCAATTATCTACAGTTTGGTACCTTGAAAATTGAAATCCGATGTGTTTTCGCAGAGCTGTGACATTTTTATGAACCCTATGAAAATGCGTTTTGACAGAACTGACCAACTTCCAAAGGCGATAACTCCAAAAGTATAAAAGCTATCGACTAGTCTTTAGTAATCTATGTAGTCCCGAGTGCGGGCCTTACAACAATATATCAAACACATTTGCACTATTTGCCGTTCAGGAGAAGAAGATTATGAAACACAGGCACCCTCAAAACGTGCGGAAATGTGAAAAATCGTAATGTTTGTGTTTGTGTCGTAATTGTGACGTAATTATTGATTATTACATAATAATAATGTGAAGCAAAACTATTTCCCATTTCATTATCTACAGTTTGGTACCTTAACCAACTTCCAAGGGCGATAACTCCAAAACTCTGTTCAAGATATCGACATGCCTTGAGCAATTTATGTAGTCCAGGGTGTGGGCTTTACAACGATATATCAAACACGATTGTACTATTCGCCGTTCAGGAGGAGAAGATTTTTAAACACAGGCACTGTCAAAACATGAAAATCGGCAAAAAATTCAGTTTTTCCAAACTTGCGGAAAATTTATTCTGCCGGTTAACTTCTGCTATGCATTGAATCAATGGAGAATGATGTTGTCTACATAGAGTGAATTTTGCTCAGTTTATCTCTAGTAGTTTTTGAGATATTAAGGTGAACTGGACTATGAACTGTGACTATGAATGAGTGAGTGAGTGACTTGGGTTTTACGCCGCTTTTAGAGATATTGAGGTGAACTGGACTATGAATGAGTGAGTGAGTGACTTGGGTTTTACGCCGCTTTTAGCAATATTCCAGCAATATCACAGCGGGGGACACCAGAAATGCGCTTCACAATGTGCCCATGTGGGGAGTCGAACCTGGGTCTTTGGCGTGACGAGCAAACCACTAGGCTACCCCACGCTCCGAACTGGACTTGACTAGAGATAAATAGTATGATGACCATAAGCCTGTCCAAACATCATATCACTCAAACAAAATATTCGTCCCTTGGCAGTATGAATCTTTAAAATGGACTCTGTCCCAGAATTCCCAGGGAATATTTCTTCCAATGTATTATTCAGTACCTTCATCTGAGAAATCCACTTCCTCTTCATCAAATTCTTCCTCTTCCCCATCTCCCAATGCATCCTCCATCTCCGCCTTAAACTCAGCAGCCAAGTCATCATCATCTAGATCCATCTCTTCCCCGGACAGATCATCGTCAGCATCATCAATATCATCATCACTGTCTTCTTCATCTACATCTGCAGTTTTGTTGCTTTTCTTACTTTTACTCTTCCTTTTGCCAAACTCCCTGCCCATGGAATATAAATAGCTTACTGAACAGCTGTACAAGAAAAATGCACAAATCAGAGAAAAAAATCAACGTTTTAGATATCTCTTTTTTTGTGTGTGGATACTTGTAAGAACCTTTAATAATGATAAAGAATATGGCAAACGAAGAAGCATGTCTTCAAATTCACTCTACCAAGGCCAATACCATATCTGTGAAAATATGGGACTGTTCCACGGAGTCTTAAAGAACAGTTCTTCACCAGCTTACCATTAACACATAACTACAATGAAGACTCTGGATGTTCCCATCCTTGACTTACCCTGCGAAGTCAAAGTCCAAGAAGTCCTCCCCTTGGTCAGCTCCTCGCTCAAAGTTATCTGAGGTGAAAGAATAACACACTTCAGTCAAGGCTAGAAATCTTACAAATTGTATATACATTCTTCACCTTTATTGATTAACAGATACCCTGAAGTTTGATTTGATTCTGGGGTGAAGAACAGGTTGTCTCAAATTGAGCTGCTCATATATTTGACATGTTAAAGACTTATTCTACTTGACATGTTGCATTGCTGCTAACTGCTCATCTCCTAATTTCCTACACAGAATCTGATTCCCAAAAATGTCAACATGGTTTCTAATGACAGGCACAAATTTTGTTCACCCAGACACCTTTGCTTCCTGTGTAATTCCAACACAATACCGAGACAAATAAAGACACTTACCCAAGTATTCCTCAAACTCTCCGTCACTGACACTGTCAACATCACTGCCGTCATCTTTCCCTTTCAACTTATCTCTCACAGATTTCTGGCTGAAGTACCTGAAGACATATGAGAGGCGGGTTTTACGCGTGTTTTACGTAGGTTTTAGCATGTATAGTAATACTGCAGCAATGGGAAACATCAGAAATCAGCTTCACACATTTATACCCATGTTTGAAATCATACCTTGGCCATTGGTGTGAAGAGGGAACACTCAACCCTTAGGCTAACACATCTGGAGATACGAGTTTATATGAACAGCCAAAGAGCAGTGAGACAGATTATCTGATTGAATAAAGAAATGACGTAACCCTGGTGACAGACGTTCAGCATTCAATCTCCAGGATTTGTTAACCCTCCTACAAAGGTCATTCATCACAGATATTGGTCGCATCCTTTACCTATCTGAGGAAACCAAGAGCCGTCTAACTGCCTGGAATACTTTGCTTGAGTTGCATTGATTAAAGTTTGAGATTTTAAGGCAAAACTTCTATTGAAATGTAACTTTGTTTTACCATGATTATAAAAAGTATTCACACAAAATAGTAGGTGACTTGGAAATATTTCACGACACCCTGTTTTTTTAGAGTATGATACTGCAAACTAATTGTACTGTGTATGTAATGTCAAATGTTTCAGATACAGACCCTCAGGCATAAATAGTAAAAAGAAATTGGTTCTCAGACAATGGCTATGAAAAACTTGGTGCAGACAGGCAATCACTGAATCTGTGAATCATCATGTGTAGTGATGTTTTATTTCAAATTTCTTTCTGTCATTGAGCGAATTACTGAACATCATGAAAATCTCTTTAAACTCCCATTGCTGCGCATACCAAGGGAAGTAACTGCACACTACAATGGATCTTGATGTTCATAGTACTGCCGCATAACCTGAGGTGGACTTTATGATGATGCAGTGGTGCCTGACAACCAACACTATTGTTTTTAAGCGTTATTGACAGGAGTAGGTACCAATTCTATCACTGTCAATGTTTCAGGTCAGAGTAAGCGGATATTCAGGGTTTATCCAACAGCTAGTAAATAACCATTCTGGGCCATGTAGTAGGGCAAACAATCCACTCACAATGACAGAATCTGTCATTTCACAGGCCTGTTTGATCTTCATTAGCTGGGGTACACGGGAACTAGTCTTGGAATACCAATGAGTCTATACTTGCATAAGGAGCAGAGGCCATCTAATTTTAACGTATCTTACAGACTTAACATAAACTAGCTGCTTGCATTACACTGCCATGCAATTAGTTGATCTCACTTCTCTCCTGGCCAGCAGGGCATTGGGGGCTTGCATGTAATCACAGAGTGGTCATAGACAGGGAAACAGACGACTGGTTCGGTAACACACAAACACAAACTGTGCCTTACTTGTACAAGTACTTCTCGTCTTCAGGGATGCTGTTCTCGTCTCTGTCTATGAAACTGTCACTGGTCACAGGAACCTGATTTTTGGGTACAGACTGCTTGGCACTCATCACACTCTTGGTACCTGCAACACGAACAATCAAGTATATTGTCTGTAATTATTTGTAAACTTACCTCTTGGTTGTGTTAGCCTTTTCCTCTGTTGCTTGGTGATGTGTTACAGACTCCCTTAGATAAAATTTTAATAACAAAGGGAAGTAATCCTTACTAGACAATCCCTGTTCCCGCTTGATTACTTCCCTTGACCTGCTCTTCTTGCCAGTAGTAACAAACATGTGTCATATTTTCCCCGGGTGTAGATTCTGTGACCATACAGTGGGAAGGAAAGGAAATGACTTTCCGGGCGGGTGTAACGTGTACAACCCAGAGGTAAGTTTACTAATAATTACTTGATTGTTTGTAATTATAGGCGTAAACATTCCCTCTGGGTTGTGTTAGCCAGAATCCCACGTATGGTTTGGGGGATGTTCTAGCTACACCTTCCAGAGTGAATGTCTATTCCTATTAATAACGCACAAATCCTGTATAATTGACTGTGGTACTGAATATGATAATTGATCATTATATACTTAGGTAATTCAATTAATATATTGAATTTACTGATACCTAAGTGCAAATTTCCACCACCAATAAGGGATTTCCTGGTGAGATAGGATGATTGGAGGGAATGATGGAGTAATACAGTTTACTGTTAATTAAATGGAATGTCAAGATTTAGGTATTTTGTGATGTCCTTTCCGATTTCCATGACGTCACTACCTGATTTATGACGTCACTTCCTGTTCTATGACGTCACTTCCGGTTTAGTTTTGGTTAGATAGATAATAGAAGTCTTACTCATCATCACTCCCCACTATAAGTAAATGTGTGTTAGTACTGGAGTCCTTCATCAGATGTTCCACAACTATCTGACCTCCTCATCCTAATAGATTCCACCATAAGTTGATACTTGATGAACTTGTGTAGAATTCTTGAGCACACACACACACACACACCCCTCCTTTTTTTGATGTCGAAGGGTCAATGCTGAGAGAGCCTTTGAGCAGCAATGAGCAGTCCCAGGGAGTGGATCCCATCCAGAGCCAGTGTAGTGTCCCGTAAGTATAACGTGTTCGATCAAAACTGAAGTCCAAGCGGTGAGAGATGATGCTAATGCTCTGATTTCATGAGGTGAAAATCTGACGTTAACATAATCTTGATTACAATCCTGACAGGCAATAGTGATCGTTTTGCGAAGCCAAGCAGATAAGGATTCTTACACAGTTCCCTTGTGGTATGTGGTTTACAGGGAAGGAACAGTCGACAACGCTTATGCCTAAAAAAGTTCTTGCGATCTGTGTACCAGCGGATAGCTTGAAGGGGACACAAAAGAAGAGATGTAACGGAGCGTGACGAGGAAGGCAATGCCGGGATAGTGTAGGATCTCGGCCCCAATGGACCATGTGCCGTGGATGAGTGGATAGTCTCGACACGCGAAGGTTGAGAGCCGGAATGTTCGGGTGGATTACCGATGAGCCTGGTTGAGCCAGTAGATTTTCCCACAGCAGCAGAACAAAAGGTTCGTCCGTTTGTAACTCTAGCAGAAGAGGACACCAAGTCCTGGTCGGCCACTCTGGCGCCACTAGGTAGAGCACACACTGATGTTGCAGATCTTTGAGAGTACCAGTACGTCCAGAATCACCTTGGATGGAGGGAAAGCGTATGCGATCATATTGTCCCAGGAGACTGACAGAGTGTCTATGGCCCAGGCGGTAGGGTCAGGTACTGGACTGACATAGACTGACATAGACTGGTAACTGTGCAATGCGACTCGTGGCAAACAGGTCTATACAAGGCGTTTCCCATCTCTGCTGAATCATCCGAAATGCCTCCTTGTGAGGGGTCCATTCTGTGGGTAGAAGTTGCCCTTTCCGAGACAGTGAGACAGCCAGTAAGTTGATTTTCCCGGGAATATGTCTGGCTTTGAGAGCGCACTTGTGCAGATCTCCCAGATGATAAAGTTTCCGTGTCAGATCCATCAAGGTTGAAGAGTGAGTTCCGCCCTGCTTGTTGATATACGCAACCACAGTGGAGTTGTCCATCGCTACCACGACAGACTTGTGATGGAGGTGAGGCCACCAAAGTCCAGGGCCCCGTCCCCATTTCACAAAGCTCTCTTAGGCCTAAGATCTCGTAACTTTTCTTGTAGCATTGGTACCTACTATATTGTAACATAAGAGGTACGAATGCTACGAGAAAAGTTACGAGATCTTAGGCCTACGAGAGCTTTGTGAAACGGGGCCCAGGCCCACAGCATGGCCAGGAACTCCAGGTACGTTGATATGATGGGTCATCTCCAATGGATTCCAGGATCCTTGAGCCTGTAGATGGTCCATGTGAGCAACCCAACCGGTTGCCGATGCGTCCGTATAAATTGTTTCATCCGTTTTGGGAATCCGAAACGGAGCGCCGTGGAGAACATTGTGTTCCTGAGTCCACCAATTGAGTTCCCGTTTGACTGTTAGAGGAGGAACTACATCGAAATCCAGGTCGTCTGACCTGCACTGATTGATCCAGCACTGTGTGAAGAGAAGATTGAGACGGCCCCGGCACGTAAAATCCTGCATGGAAGTGAGAGATCCTACCAGAGACATCCAAGTTCGGAGAGAAACTGTTGGATTGTTGATGAGGAGCATAAGACGATCTCTGACTGTGATCCAAAGATCCTGATCCTGGAGGATACGGCATGTCCAGGCATCAAGTATAGCACATAGAAACTTTATGTGAAGAGCCGGGACAAGTGACGGGCCAGAAAATCGTCCAGGTAGCCGTGGATCGCTATGCGTCTGAGATGAAGAATGTTGAGGACCGGATTCATCACAACAGTAAAGAGCCATGGAGCTATTGAGATCCCGAATGGAAGTACACGGAACTGGAAACGGCGACCGTTGATGGCAAAACAGATATATTTTTTGTGACTGAGGTTGTATCAGGATGTGAAGATAGGCATCCTTCAGATCAAGACTCGTGAACTTTGTGTCGGGACGAATAAGTTTGCGGACATTCTGAAGTGATTCCATGGTAAACTTGGGAGGCCGACGCAAGAACTGTTTGTTTAAGATTTTGAGATCGATCACCATCCTCATCTCTGGAGTATCCTTTTTTGGTACTAGGAATACCGGAGAGGAAAAAGCTGGAGTGCAGTCTTGGGGAGACAACTCTACAATAGCCTGAGAAGATCCTCTTCTGACCCACGTGGGTACGGTGCACGGCTTCAGTAGATGTAATAACGCTATCTTATATGCCGTATATGCCCAGCCCGGATTTAAATCCGCAGCCTCCGTGTCCATGGAGGGCACCGTAAGGATACCTTCATGCATAGATACCTGAGCATCTGTAATGGGATAAATGCCGTGGGTATCTGAGTCCGTAATATCCGGAAAGATTGGAGGGTTATCAACGTCAATGTGATCCACAGCCGACGGATCAACCACAGCCGTGGTGTCCGACGGGTCGGAGCTAACGGACGCCTCTGGTGCTGTGGAACCTGTAAGAGTTGTATCCAAGCCCGGTCCGGCAAACCTCGACTCAGAGGTCTTGTCTGGGACGGTGGCTTCCTGAAACCACTGAGACTGGGACAACGTCATCGCTGATGCCAGTTCATCAGATAGTTTGTGAGTAGCCGTGGAAATGTCCGTGACAATCCTATTTCCTGACTAGAGGTAGAATCTATATGCGAAGCAGCTATGGTTAAGTTTAAGTTCTTTCATTTTTGTGAAACTCCTCTGTTCAAGATCTTTAAGAGCTGATCCAAGAGATGCACTTAAATCTTCCTTACAAGATGCTAACATAGTCGAAAAAGCATTCAAGTCTAAGCCTTGTGAAGCAGGGGTCTTCTCAGGAGTGGAAGGCTTACTGGATTTAGACTTCCTTACGCTTTCAGAGGAAGATGACTTGCGCTTCTTAGCCCTAAGCCGAGCGTCATTCATGCTATTCCACTCATTCTCAGATAAGTCTTGGCACAATAAGCAACAAGTAGATAAAGCACAAGGAGTGTCTGTTGTGCAAGCAAGACATAATGAATGAGGGACCTTATCCTACTGAAAACGTTGGCATCCAACAAACTTCTTTTGAGACATGATACCTTAATGTGTAGTCAACGCACTTAAGTACAAAAATGGTGGGGGAAAATGGATCAAGTACAATTCACAATTTTTTACGCAAATAAATGTTCAAAGTGAATAATACGATTGTGTGGCGACCACACTAAACATGTCTGTTGCTGAGAAAGTTGAACTTAAAGCACAACATTGAAAAAATCCAAGGCAGTCCAAACATGTCTTCACTTGGTGAGTACAGAGGAAAATATGACACATTTGTTACTACTGGCAAGAAGAGCAGGTCAAGGGAAGTAATTAAGCGGGAACAGGGATTGTCTAGGTAAGGATTACTTCCCTTTGTTATTAAAATTTTATCTAAGGGAGTCTGTAACACATCACCAAGTGACGGAAGAAAAGGCTAACACAACCAAGAGGGAATGTTTACGCCTATAATTATGGAACGTTGATATTTTAAGTGTGGGAGAAAAGTAGGCTTGTTTTTCTCCATGAGTTTGCAGAATGATCAAAGTAGCGGCCATACAATTTCTGAGTCCCTACTCAGATCCGAGGTCCGACTCTTGTCCACATGAGCAAAGAGTTAAGGATGTCATCTGTGGGATGTCTCCATGGTCTACTACGATTTATTGACTAAGCAGATCACAAATGTTGAAACCTTGACAAATGGGTGTAGGGCTGACCCCTAAGTTTCTATCTTAAATCTGCAAATTGTGGTCCCTAGGACAAATGGCCTGGTCAACACCTGAGACCACTGGGCCACCCTAGAGGATGTGACCATGATGTTGGCTGGTGATTACCTGCTTCCAGCTTCTTGGGGTTCTTGTACACAAATCTGTTGAGAAACTTGATGAGAGTGAAGTCCTGCAGAGGGTCACTTGTGTACACAATCGGGGATTTCTGAAAATGTTAGTGTATCAGGAACAACTGGTGTTACAAACCTCACAGCAATAACAAGTGAAATCATCTCTCAGTAATAACTTGTGTTACAAATCACCCATAAACAAATAGTATAACAGTTATCTCTCAAACAAGAAGCATTAAAAATCCCTCAGGAATAACTTATGTTACAAATTATCATGAAACAACTAGTGTCCAAAATCTCCCACAATCTTCTGGCATCAACTTGTCTTACAAATCTCCCAAGAACAACTAGTGTCCAAAATGTCCACACTCTTCCCAAGGCTTGTGTATTCACCTGCAGCAGTGTTTTGGCAAACAGTGCCACTGAAGGGTGGAAGTGGTTTGTCAGCTTCTCCAGCTCCCAGACACAAGCCTCATCAGCACCACAGTACATCGGGTTTCGGTGGAACGGGTCGTAAGTCCCCAGTGTCATCTTATCTGAAAAACATCATTCACATTTTGTGATTAATTCCAGACTCCACTGTACACATGTAGAGTCTATTTCTTCACTGAGTGTTTCTCCTCTACTACCAATATACACACCTTGCTTGTTTCTCCGATGAACCCACGAGGACTTGAGATTCTTCTTGTCCTCCACCTTGACCTCCACCATGTCCTCCACTTTGACCTCTGGGTTCTCCTCCCCTTCTTCCTTTGCTGTGTGGGATGTCCTCTCATCTACCTCTGGCAGGTCCACAAAGTGTTCCTCATCATCGGAGTCCTAACAGAACAGTCAGAGAATGGACAGTGACCTGACAGAGGTTGGTGTGAGGTCAGTGAACAATGATTGGCAATGGTCACACACAGTCAGTCATGTCTTAGGACCTATTCTCTTCCAGATCTCCAAAGTGGTCAGGGTTGAGAGAGTTAATACCAATAGGAATGTTTTCAAATGATATCAATCCACAAATTAAAGGCCAGACTCAGTGACTCACAGCAGGTCATAGTAACTGCATGACATTGGTCTTTGTTTACCGGTTTGTCTGGTCCGGTATGAATTACTTACATTCCGTCATCATAGCTTGACTGACTGACTGAGTTTAGTTTTACGCCACTTTTAGCAATATTCCAGCAACATCACGGCAGGGGACACCAGAAAAGGGCTTCACACCGTGTACCCATCTGGGGATTCGAACCCGGGTCTTCGGCGTGACGAGCCAACGCTTTAACCACTAAGCTACCCCACCGCCCCCATCATAGCTTGAATATTGCTGAGTGGGGTGTTAATCAAACAAACATCATTCATAGGTAAAAGTGAGTGAGCTTAGTGTTATGCCGCTTTTAGCAATATTCCAGCAATATCATGGTGGGAGAAACCAGAAATGGGCTTCACACATTGTGCCCATGTGGGGAATCAAACCCAGGGCTTCAGCTTGACAGGCGAACGCCTTAACCACTAGGCTACCCCACACAACTTGTAGGTAAAAGATTATCTTACCTCAAAAGACTGTGAAAAGTTGATGACGTCTGGTCTTTTCTTAATCACCTGAAAGAACCCAGTGGAAGTATCAGTATCATTGTGTCCACTTGAAATAGCATTGTGTGTCAGCAACACATGAACAAGCTTCTTGTGTTAAAACTGCTCTTTTGTGAGATACTGAACAGAGATTTAATGTTTTCACTTCAGTAAACAGAACTCACTTTCATCTCAACCTGGCACATATAGATTTATATTCTAGGAGTGTTTGTGAGAGACTGTGTCTTAGAGAGTGTGTGAAAGCGTGTGTGTGTTTTCAGGGTATTCAGGGTGCTGTGTGACTGTGTGCATGTGTTTGGTGGGGGTAATGGTGGATGTGGGGTGATGGTGGGGGTAATGGTGGATGTGGGGGTGATGGTGGGTGTAATGGTAGGGGTGGGGTTGATGGTGGATGGGGGTGATGGTGGGGTGATGGTGGGGTGTGGGTAGGGGTGGGTGTGGGTGTAAAGGTGGGGGGTAGGTTGGGGGTTTGATGGTGGATGTGGGGGTGATGGTGGGTGTAATGGTGGGGGTTAATGGTGGATGTGGGGGTGATGGTGATGGTGGGTGTAATGGTGGGTGTGATGGTGGGGTGGGGGTAATGGTGGGGGTGATTATGCGGTTGAGGTGAAGGTTGAGGTGAAGGTAGGGGTGATGGTGGGGGTGGAGATGCCACTCCTTAGACTTATATAAGAGACAGAATACTTTTCTGTCAAATGATGATAGCAGTCCCCCTACTGAATGTCCTCACTACTTGAACTGCTGGTACTCCTCACCTCAGACAGCATGAATAGGACGCCACACACAAACTGGGGACTGTGGTAGGAGCAGACCTGCAGCATCCTCTTGATGAAAGCCTGGAACAGGGCATGCCACTCAACCATCAAGCTCATGCTTACTTTCATTATACTGACTGACTGAGTTTGGTTTTACGCCGCTTTTAGCAATATTCCAGCAACATCACGGCTGGGGACACCAGAAATTGGATTCACACATTGTACCCATGTGGGGATTCAAACCCGGGTCTCCGGCGTGACGAGACAACGCTTTAACCACTAGGCTACCCCACCGGCCCCTACTTTCATTATACAGTGGAAAGGATGCTACTTAAGGATTCACATTTCCTGAACATTAAACAACCAAATGCACAATCATATTCAAATTTGCCACTTTATGTGATGATCCAAATACATGTACTGATAATCTAACCCCTTATGGTCACCGTGATTAAGTGTAGGTGTGCATGAGAATCAAATAGATTTGCCAAACACAGCCAGATACAATCTCTAACAATAGGAATATAAAGCACACCTTGATTCGTTTCTGAGATGTGTCTGTGCGCATTGTCTTGAATATGAGATTGAGGAACATGGCTTGTTTAGAAGATGTCTTTAGGGCCGGGGCAGCCAGCTTCTTGTACAGCGCCACATAGAACCGGTCACTCAGCGTCTCACTAGAAGAACATATCGACTCAAGGAATACTCAACAATAGGTAGGGGGTATAAAAATAAAGGACAAAATATTCTTTTGTTTAATGAAGTTGAAATGATGCCAAACTGGATTCAGTTCCATTCCATTGAAGACTGAGATACGTATTTGAATTGCAACAATTTTGTGTCATTCAGTGCCAAACTGGAGAGACTGAATACATCCTTATGAAAAATTGAGTGGAATATTAACTTACGGATTGGATATCTTTAAAATTAGTTAAAAATTCTAGTTAAAAGGACCTCTCACCTTGAGTCTGTGACGTGATGTAGCAACATGAGAGCCTGGACACTAGTGTTGAAGTTGACCAGGTGCACGATCTTGTACAGGCTGTCCAGCTGCTCGCTCAGGTAACTCTTCTCACCTGCACATGATTACAATCACATCACAAACAAAAGACATCCATGTCTGATACACAAGTCACCACAGTCATACAGGGTATTGGCAGTCTGAGGATATAATCAGTACGATGGGTGAAAATTGAGTGTGAAGTGAGATTTATTGTCATTTACATGTTGGAGGGAAGCCAATAACAATGTCGTCAGCAATATTCCAGCTATTATAAAAAGGTTTATAAATGATCAAGTCTGCACAAGATGAACCAGTAGTTGTTGAAAGCATGCATGATCCTCATGTGACATTCAATTGCCAAGTCCATGAGACAAACTGGACATAAAAATGCTTAGAAGTACCCCAAGGAGGACCGCTCTGTAAAAGAATCAAGCCTAATGATGACTTTGTATTGCCAAATCTAGAACCTCTAGAAACTCTACCATGTCAGCTAACTAGCCTCAAACTAGACTCACGTTAAAATATAGTACAGCATTATTGTGAACAGTCACATGTCCAGCAGCCACAAGAACATGATATTGCTCTCACCTTTAGCATAGGGAAAGGCCCGATGGACTCCTGTCAACAGGGCACTCATCATCTTGCTGTCAATCTCCCCTTTCTGGACAAAGGCCTGGAATACAAACATAACAACACTGATCTACACAAGGTAGAAATGGGTAGGGTACATTTTGTTTGTTGTTGAACACCGTACTCAGCAATATTCCAGCTATATGATGGGGGTTAAGGATGTAACAAACAAGCTTGCCACAAAACAGTGAGTGAGTGAGTGAGTGAGTGAGTGAGTGGGTGGGTGAGTGAGTGAGTGAGTGAGTGAGTGAGTGAGTGAGTGAGTGAGTGAGTGAGTGAGTGAGTGAGTGAGTGAGTGAGTGAGTGAGTGAGTGAGTGAGTGAGTGAGTGAGTGAGTGAGTGAGTGAGTGAGTGAGTGAGTGAGTGAGTGAGTGAGTGAGTGAGTGAGTGAGTGAGTGAGTGAGTGAGTGAGTGAGTGTGAGTGAGTGAGTGAGTGGCTTACCCTGAAGAAGGAGAAGTATATCTTAATGAGCTGTGAGGCCAGCTCTTCATCCTCAGCATCCAGGACTATCTGGTTGAGGAAACACATTGCATAATATCTGAAACAAACAAAACCATCACTGGCAGCTACTATCTGCAGTTAATATCACTGATGTTTTGCATAAGGACTTTTTGTTGCTTAATGCCACACTATCACAGCTATATCACAATCTGGTTGAGGAAACACATTGCATAGTTTTCTGAGAAAGGATCTCTTACAAGGGTTAGACAAAAAAAGAACAAATCAAAAAGGTTGTATGATATTTTCAAAAGAAATAAGATGTTACAGCTTTTAAAAGATAAAACGTTGTTTAATGTCAAGTAGTCTGAACAGTCTCTTTGTTTAGACAAAGTAGTGACAATACTCACTGTGCCCTGTCCGAGATGTTCGGCCGGTACAGGATCACCTCTACAGCGCTGGCCACTACAGCGTTCATGTTTGGGTGCTGACTCACTGCAGGGAGGAACAAAACAACTGATAACATCTCATGTCAGTAGACGGTGAGGCTAGAATGTCGAACTGACATGCCACAACATTAAACTCAACAATACCATATTTGATGAACTTCATTCTGTCAAGTGAACATTACCATGTCTACTGCTATGTGCTAGTCATCATTGGTAGATGTCTGATACAGGCTGGGAGGCATTAGATATGCTATTGCTTGCTTACCCAGTTTGGTTAGCAGGTAAGATGCCTTGGCAGCTATCTTGTAGTCTGGATCTCCTAGTTTGTTGGCCAACATGGGCAGCAGCTCCTATAGACACATGACAAATATTCACATATAGACAAAGGGCAAATATTCACCTATAGACACATGGCAAATATTCACCTACAGACACATGGCAAATATTCACCTACAGAAACATGGCAAATATTCACCTATAGACACATGACAAATATTCACCTATAGACACATAAAATATTCACCTATAGATACATGGCAAATATTCACCTACAGACACATGGCAAATATTCACCTATAGACACATGGCAAATATTCACCTACAGACACATGGCAAATATTCCCCTATAGACACATGGCAAATTTTCACCTACAGACACATGGCAAATATTCACCTACAGACACATTCCCCTACGGCAAATATTCACCTACAGACACATGGCAAATATTCCCCTATAGACACATGGCAAATTTTCACCTACAGACACATGGCTAACACTACATTCACTCTCCAACATTGCATGGATAGCAGATTTACCAGGCTGGTAGGGACGGGAATGTTCAGACACCCAAAATAACCCTACTCCTATTCCAGAAAGCAACCATAGCACTACAACTATTGTTAGCTTATGTAAAAGCATAGAAATATGACCATCTTGGACTAAGATTGTTTTGAGAATCTAGTCCTACTCCCATGGAAAGACCAAATACTGCAAGATGAAAGCAAGGACTATTAATGTGGTAAGCCCAAACAACTCTGCTTTTACCATGCCAATTAAGGCAGTGAAGAAAGTAAACATGGAATGAACTGAACTAACTGTTTTGTCTAAGTATTACAGCTATAAGGATGGTTTGTCATGGGCAAGAGTAAAGGGAAATGAAATGGCAGAATACCCAAATCCCACTGGACCTTCCCCCACCATGTCTTGTGATCAACACTCACCTTCTCCCCTTCCGGCTTGTTGGCCAACAAGTAGTATATTGTACCTGGAGCAGGAAGCATCACATAGTTTAATGTGTGGATGTGTCTTAACCACCAGGCTATCAGTACAGTTTTATCAGTACAACATACCCAATTTTTCTCCGTATATTTTGAATGAAAAACACGAGTTTATGACAAGATGGCTATCCTTCTGTTTGACATATCATTTCTCATTTGCATTATTTCAATTGAGTGAGTGAATTTGGTTTAACACCGCTTTTAGCAATACTCCAGCAATATCACAGCAGGGGACACCAGAAATGGGCTTCACACACTGTACCCATGTTGGGAATCGAACTCGGGTCTTTGGCATGAGAAGCCAACGCTTTAACCACCAGGCTACCCCACCACCCCTTATTATTTCAAAGCCATACATAATGCATTAAAGTCAGTGTTCATAGTTAAGTTCACACTTGGCAACATTCCGGGTATATGGCAGCAGTCTTTAAACAACCGTGTCTGGACCAGACAAACCAGTGATTGATATCATGAGCCCAAGTAGTATACACAATGGGGGTACGGGACCAGGTCCCCCCCCAAGGGCCTAATCCCGTACCATCATTGTATATACTACTACTGAGTTGCATGCAAAATTTGACGAAAATCGGTCGAATAGTTTCTGAAATATTGACTTTTAAGTGAGCATGGGGTCGGTCAGGAAAAATCAAGGCCGCATTTCAGACGACCACAAATTGGTGTTTCGAAAGTTTTTTCAACACGTGTTCAGACGACGACAAAGCAGTGTTACGAAATGTTTTTTGACGCGCGTTTCAGACGACGACAAAGCGGTGTTACGAATGTTTTTTGATGCGAGTTCTGACGATGACAAAGCAGTGTTTTTAATGTATTTTTAAAGCGCGTTCAGATGACGACAAAGCGGTGTTTTGAATGTTTTTTAACGCGCATTCCGACTACGACAAAGCGATGTTACGAATGTTTTTCAACGCGCGTTCTGACGGCAACGAAGCGGTGTTTTGAATGTTTTTTTACGCGCCTTCTGACGACGACAAAGCGGTGTTACGAAATGTTTCTTTAACACGCGTTTTGACAATGACAAAGCGGTGTTACGAAATGTTTCTCCACCCGCGTTCTGACGACAACAAAACGGTGTTTTTGAATGCTTTTTAACGCATGTTCTGACGATGACAAAGCGGTGTTTTGAATGGGTTTTTTAACGCGCGTTCTGACGATGACAAAGCGGTGTTTTGAATGGGTTTTTTTACCCGCTTTCCGTCGACGACAAAGCGGTGTTTCGAATGTTGTTGTTTTTAACGCGAGTTCAGACGACAACAAAGCGGTGTTACGAATATTTTTGACGCCCGTTCTGACGAAGACAAAGCGGTGTTGCGACAAAGCGGTGTTTCGATTGTTATTTTAACATGCGTCCTGACGACGCCGGAGTGTTTTTTTTTAAAATGTTTCTCTAGGCGCTTTCCGACGACAACAAAGCGGTGTTTTTTAATGTTTCTCGACATGTGTTCAGACAACGACAAAGCAGTGTTTTTTAATGTTTCTCGACGACGACAAAGCAGTGTTTCGAATGTCTTTTAACGCGCGTTCTGACGACGACAAAGCAGTGTTTTTAAATGTTTTTAACGCGTATTCCGACGACGACAAAGCAGTGTTTTTTAATGTTTTTTAATGCGTATTCCCACGACGACAAAGCAGTGTTTTGATTGTTGTTTTAATACACGTTCAGACGACGACAAAGCAGTGTTTTTGAATGTTTCACGAGGCGTGTTCCGACGACGACAAAGCGGTGTCAAGAAATATTCAAAAACACTGCTTTGTCGTCCATCTGAATCTTAGCGTTTAAAAACATTTAAAGAGCTTTGTCGCCGCCGGAATACTCATTAAAACATTCAAAACACTGCTTTGTTGTCGTAGCGCAAGGTCGAGAAACATTGTCGTAACACCGCTTTATTGTCGTCAAAACACGCGTCAAAAAACATTTCGTATCACTACTTTGTCGTCGTCTGAAACGCGGCCTTGATTTTTCCTGACCGACCCCATGCTCACTTAAAAGTCAGTATTTCAGAAACTATTCGACCGATTTTCGTCAAATTATGCATGCAACTCAGTAGTAGTATATACAATGATGGTACGGGATTAGAGCCTCCCCAAGGACTCAATTTTTTAAATTGAGCCCTTGGGGAGGGCCCTGTTCCTGTACCCCCATATGTATACAGTGAAGCCCCATTAGTCCGGACTCCGATAATCCGGATAACTCACCTCCCGGGCGATTTTAGCTTGTTACCAATCTATGCCTATTTAATTTGCCTCGATAATTCGGTTTCCGGAACCGGACGGTAAGTAGCTGTAACCAATCAGTAAAATAAACAGTAAATTGCTTCACAGTCCGGATGCTGTAAGTCGTGTTCACGAACCATAACAACACCCCTAGGCAATGTTTACTTAACTGGCCATAAACAAGTTGACAAGATGAACTCTTGTTAACTTTTGAGAAATGTCGATTAAGGGTTGTTGTTTTAATTAGACATTAAAATCTCCCGACGGAAGATGCTGTACATTTACAATTTGATTGACACCACAATACAAAGGCGTGGATGACAAGTGAGCTATTTTGTGATTGGCTAATGTACTTTGACAGACAGATGCGGTCAGGTGGACTTAAAGTGATTTTGCTTCTCAACAACACTGCAAGTCACAAGTGTGCTTCGCTAACTTTGCGAAATGTGACCAAATACCACGTCTCATATTCAACCGATGGATGCAGGAATAATTCGGACATTCAAGGCATACTACAATAGATCGCTTGTTAGACATTACCTCACCTGAGCTGAGGAAGGACGTGATCAGACACGTCGGATCAACATGCGGATGTCACTCGGTAAAATTATTCATGTGATGAATTCAATGAGGAAGGTTAAACGAACACAAACAACAATGAAAGACTTTTTGCTATGACTATAGATTATTGTTGTGCTTGCTATTCATTGTTTAATAAGCTTTAAATTAAATGCTTATTTGTTTTATCCAGATTCGTGTCGTTTTTGTAATAGTAAGGGAAGCAACTCTTGCTTGAACTTGGGTCTTGATTCAGTAGTCCGGACTATTTGCAATCCAGACGAATTTGCCGAGAAACGTAACCGTCCGGATAAACGAGGCTTCACTGTACTACTGCCCATGCCATTGGGTATGAAGAACTCTGATCAGGTCACTGTGCCTGACCACCAGATCCTGCAGTCACTTAAAATGACTGGCAGGGAAGAATTCTTAGTTGGAATACTCCTGGAGGGAAGAAATTGTCAGTGACATAAGTACACTTTACTTACTTAAAGCTGTCTCTTTGGGTGTTATCAGTGTATCATATGACATTGTCTGAAACATAACATCAACTTTAAGTGCATGAAAAACATAAACTATAACTCCATATAACAATTTCATCTTCAAACTAGTAGTTATTACACAGATGATGACACCACTTATTCAAACTGTTAATATCAGAAGAAATCAAAAGGTGTTTTGAACATCTTCTTTGACGGGCATTTAGAAGTTGGTGTGATGAACAACGGGGAAAGTACTATGGATATACAACTCTTTATCATAACGTAAGTGCTTACATTATAATTAAGAGTTGTATAACTTTGGAACCTTCTCTGTTGTTCAGTGTTTTGAAGGACAGGAAGTTATCTCACATCAACAGCTTTAATAAATGCAGCATATTTCTCCTTCAGTTGATTTTCGAAATGCCACAGCAGGAGTGTCCTGTCAATGGTGTCCTTGTTTCCACTGGCCAGTCTCTCTAGTCCCGGCAAAGATTGCTGCAAGAGACATACATACACATAGCTCACTCAATGGATGTGCTGGGACACATAGATTGGTAACACTTGATTTCCCTCACTTTATTTACATACCTCCTGACAACATCTCACTACTAGTACTACATCAATACTCATACTGATTTCAAATAATAGTCTTACCTATTCGAGCTTTAAATTCTCCACATTTGTCATGACAGTGAGTGAGTTTAGTTTTACACTGCACTCAGCAATATTCCAACTATATGGCGGAAGTCTGTAAATAACCGAGTCTGGACCAGACAATCCAGTGGTCAACATCATAAGCATCATCTACCCAGTTGGGATGTGATGACATGTTTCAATCAAGTCAGCGAGCCTGACCACCAGATTTCCTTAGTCACCTCTTACGACAAGCATGGGTTACTGAAGATCATTTCTAACCTGGATCTTCATGAGTTTGCCATGACAGAACCATGGTACCTACCATTATCAGCTGAAGCTAGGGAGGTGAGCCACTTCTATGACGAAGACACAGTTAAACAAAGTTTACCCTGACCAATGTGCTAAAACTGAATATAAATCAACAACTTCAAAGCTTCTTTCATTAATTACTTTTACTGCAATTATTATGAAAATATTGACAGTTAAACTGCCGCTGCTTTACACTGTTAGGAGATATCTGTGACTTGAATCATGCTGGACATTACTACTAACCTGAGTTCAACAACAGTCATAGATAACAGTCAGTCATACCTGATGAAAACATTTGAGTTTTCTGTGGCTGGGTAACAGATCAGACAGGAACAGATCCTTCAAGGCCGCTAGCAGACAAGGGAGACAACTTGATTAACACACCATGTACACAAAATGTTTACTACATGAAGCATACAGCAACTGGACATATACTGATTTGAAGAACAAGTGAAGATGCCAATCAAAAACAACAACAATAGGACTATACAATATATAAACAGCCTATAGATCACCAGCAACTGAAGGTAGATCACCATACTAAGGACCATGGGGACTTACAGTACTTTGCTACCTACAAATGTATGTCTGTGTGGCAGCTTGTACTAGTCTGCACAAATACTGGTTTAAAATGCTACCCCATTGAGATGCCCTGCTATAGTTTGACATGGGTAGCCCTCTCAGACCAGTATACAGACTCTAAGAGAACAGGGGCTCCTTAGACAAAGCAACGTTTTCTAAGGTTAACCGTAACTCCCATTCCTTAACATTGTACTAAGGTTACCTCAATGACTTAAGATCGCCTTAGGGCTTTGTGAAGAGAGGCACAGGGCCTGTATTTTCGAAACGATCGTAGCCCTAAGAATTCATAACTTTGATCGTAGGTAAAGTGATAAGAATGGGCTTAAGAGGTTTGTTGGGCTTTCGGAAATTTAGGCCCTGATCCTTGTTTTATCCCCTTAATGCCAAAAACAAGGCAAAGTAGCAACAAGTACCATTTGTCAACATCATTGGTGTGACATGGTCAGAGATGAACAATCAACAAGTGGCAGACACTCTATCCATGAGTCACAATGAGTTTTGGACTTGGTCGTGTATTAACACATGTGACTACACAGTCTCACATAAAATATAGAAGTTACATTCTGAACTAGTGTTTGATGTTATCATGAAGTCTTCAAAAACCCTGACAAGGCCAATACTGATGGATATCCATTTGATGTCTACTAGGGGTGGGCATTGCAGAGAATTTTCACATTGCGATATATTGCGATGCGAAAACGCATATATTGCGATACGTATTGCAATATATTGCATGAAGTATTCTTAAACAAAACTACTTATAATCGAGTTAATACTTGATTTACAAAGCTAAAACACAACAAAATCACTACGCTTGATTAAGCTATAATAACAACTTTCAGTCATAACAAAATAAAAATGTAAATAATATTTGGCACAAATGAAACAAGGAAATATCCGAAGATTTCCGAGTGTTAGGAAGTTTTCTGAATGCAAGTCAAAATACCGGTTTTCGATCAGCGTATCGCAATACGTATAGTTTTCATGTCTGAACCGGTAAAAATCGGTAAACCGGTTATATTGAGCAGCCCTAATGTCTACGTGAGTCCTGTACATATTCCCAAATGTAGTATTGAGGCATAACTGAACAAAATACCACTAACCTGCAAGCTATAATCAATTACAGATAATGTATCAGGAGTGAATCAGATTTACAAACTTTTAACTATATTTCACCTGTACATTTCCCTGTATATTACAATTATCCTTTCTTAGAGGAAAAAGTTGTTGTCTATAAAGATAGGACCAGATAAAGGTTACTTACCAACAGCAGCCATTGCGTCCCTCTTGCTCTTTTTCCTGGCCATGTTCACAAGACTCTCCATACTGGTAAGAGTGTGCACAGGGGACTCCCCGACCAGAAGTGTCAGGGCGGCCAACTTGTCGGACCACGTGCCAGACGCCAGCACAGTCTTCATCCATTTTGTGTCCGACCGTTTGCTGTTTTCACGCTCTGGAGTTGAGTATGTCAACATAGTCATGATGGGACTCTCTTGTCTTCAAGTCAGTGAAATATTTCCATCTATATTGAGGGAATTATTTCTATGGAGGCCACTTTAATGATATGAATCTACACCGAAATGTTGTTCTATCCAACATACAAGAAGCTGTCATCTATAATGTTATATGCAACAGTAATGACTCTGTAACTTGTGGAATGCTGATCAAACAATCACTTTAACATGATCAATATTTTAACCTTTGTAGCCAACTTTGAGCGAAAGACAAATGTACAAATTCTGATCATTTGAACACAAAGTAATACAGAGCCGAACAATTAGACCTAAACAATGTCTACAATAACAATCGCCAAGTAACATATATTATGAATTAAATGACTGACCGACAGTTGATGAAACGATTTGAGAGTTTCAGACTGCTGCACCTACATATATCATCTATGCTATTTACTCCCTTCGTTACTGCAGTACTGACACTATGCCTGCTGCTGTTTGCCATCTATACCTTGCAGGTGACAGTGGCAGGAGCATTTGTCACGCAACAAAACATAATTAACTCCTCATGTTCTCACGTTTTGAATAGAGAGCCACCTCATCAGCCAACAGCTTCGACGCAAATGACTCCATCTGTTGTACCACAGACTCCGGTGTCTGGCCAGTGTTGGGGGCCTCATCCTGACAAAACAAATACACACTCCAATGCAAAAGTGAGCGAGTTAAGTTCTACGCGGCTTTTAGCAATACAGTGAGACCCCGGATATCCGGACACATTCGGTTTTACGTAAATCGTCCGGATAACTGAATATCCGGATATCTGGATTTCTGTCATCCAGGCTTACCGTATACTACCATCTATAAGCCGAATTTTGAGGATAAAAACAGTGTGTAGAAGGGGGTCGGCTTATCTTCATGAGTTACGCTTTCGTCAAACTTTTTTCTAGGGGTAAGAAAACAACATCACAATACTTCGCGTGAACAAACAACAAAAGACAACTTTGTCAGTAAAGACGTCAAATTTGCAATTAAACATCACTAGACAAGATTATTTACCTTTTAAGTTCTAAGTTGTTTTTGCTGGGCATTAAGATAACCGTGTGTATTTGAGCCGGAAATAGCAATCAGCTGTGCATACGTTTCAAACATGCACAATAATATTAGTAGGTGTTTGAACGGTAGCGAGCATACACTTCTGGTTTAAAATCACTTCCAAACCAGCATGGTCGTTTTGATTTGCCAACTACAATTCACTCTGTGTCAGACAGGCCTACTAATCACCACCAATACCCTGCTGATCGATCATTAATCCGGATTAGCAGACCATGTGTCAAAACACGTGGGACACTCGCGCTTCACTTCACACGGTCAGTGGAAGATCAAAGCTTTCGTGCGGATAAGTGAGTCAATTTTGTGTTGATTTAACCGGTTGGTTTGTAAAATTTACTGTCGGGGAGCGGAAACTGCATATCCGTTATAGACAGTCACTTTTAACCAAGAGATATTTTTTTTTGAAAATTGACTGGAAGGCGAGGTTTCCGGATATTTGGGGTCCGGGTATCTGGGGTCTCACTGTATTCCAGCAATATCACAGCAGGGGACACCAGAAATGGGCTTCACACATTGTACCCATGTGGGAGAATTGAACCCAGGTCTTCAGCGTGACGAGCGAACGCTTTAATCACTAGGCTAACCCCACCGCCCCCCCAATGCAAAAGAATTTAGAGTGAGTGAGTGAACTAATTTAGTTTTACACTGCTTTTAGCAATATCATGAAGGGGGACACCAGAAATGGGTTTCACACATTGTGCCCATGTGGGGAATTGAACCCCACACCTTACCTCGTCATACCATCTCTCTGTCCCCTTCAGGAGGAGGTACTTGCGGGGTTTGTAGGTAGCAATATGTTTATCCCAGTCCACCCTGATGGTCCTCAGTATGCTGTAGTTCACAGGATCAGTTGAACTGGAAATTTCATCATCCTGGACTTTGAACTTGTTTTTCTTTTTCTTCTTTTTTGTTGAACTGGATACAGCCTGTGTCTGTTCCTCCTGTGTCACTGTTTCATCCTTGTCTTCATCTTTTGGAGCTGACACATCTTCATCATCTGCTTCATCTTCATCAGCAATGATGCTGCACACAACATACTGAGTTCAGTTTATCTAACATTCAAGCTAACATGATGAAACAGTATTTGATTTTCAATTTAACCCATCTCTTGTTAAAGTTTAAAAAACTAGTAAAATTAAGTAAGTACTTCAAAATCACCCAGCTCTTCAATCATGCTCCATGAAAATGATTTCTGAGCTTCATGGAAACTAGTCTTGCATGTCAATAGCAATTAAACAATTTTCATGAAGGATCAAGCACATACCTTTGGCCTCTGTACTTGTGTAGGTCAAGTTTCTTTATGAGATCACGGATCTAGACAAAAATCACAAATTCATTAAGTATAGATACATTAGTAACATTACCATAATCATTGTAGATGTGATACATCTAAACCATTTATGAGAAATACTGTTGATGTCAGTTAAATGGAATGACAAAATGCTTTAGGCACTCGATCACTTATGCTGACTGGCAGAAAAGGGAGAAAACTCCTCCTGTTCACAGTTGCAGAGCAAGACATACCTCATCATGTTTGACTGGTTCTGCATCAAAATCCTCTTTAAAGCCCTCAATGTCCTCTTCAGTGTCCTCCAAATCTGCCACTAGTTGCAGGTCATTCTGCACAACAAAAACACAAATGAATAAGGACATGTAAACATGTTCAAGCCATGATTATAAGCTGATAAAATTACATCATGGAATTCCTGTATTTGAATGGATTGGAGTAATAGTACAAAATGTAGATATAAATAAGCTTGCATATTCCCAAGGAAACTGCTGCACAAGGCTGGAATTATTAAGTTACATTTTGGCTGGACTAGTGACAAATCTTTGCTTGTCCAATCAAAATCAAGAAACAAATCAGGTTCATAAACAAAACAGAGCAACTATCATTATGGTCTCTGATGGCATGATGATTGAGCGCTTTAATTCAATGCTAGTTCAGCAAACATGTGACCCTCGGACTCTTAGATCGACAGCTAAGTATAAGCCCTAAAGATATCTCTTTCTCATGATTTCATAACAAAAACGGAACCTTAAGAAAATCAAAACTTGTCCCATGTTCAGACCTGCGATGTTAGGATGCATGCAGCTCCAATATAATATAGATTTACTTAATAACCTGCATTCCTGTGCATAAAAATGAAAATTACAGAATCAGAAAATTTATGTATATCAGTATTATTGTTAGTTCCCATATGTAATCCTTTTAGCACAATGAATTAAGTTGAAACTGAAAAATATCCCAAAATATATTTCAAACAAGGTGCTTTCATAAACTATTACTTATAAACAATGATAAAATATGCTGCTGCATGGTATTGTTAGTAAACAAATAGTGAAAACTTTCAACAGCAATGGGTATATTCAGTGACAATGTGTGTAGAGATGATAGATTGCTTATGTCATAAGGCACTGTTTCACAAACGTGTTTGGAAACAAAATTTCACAAACTATGTCATAGAGGCATTGTCATGAACTTTGTCGTGCTGAATTCGGATGGCCAAAATGTGTTTCATACTAGTAGCAATGCTCAAGCTAAGGGCGGATAACTCATCCTGACCTCAGTCAGTGTGGGCTGAAACCCAGGTCATGAGGGTACCCTCAGTTTACGTTGATTTGAAGCAAATCCCTTCTACAAAGATGGGAAATAGTATGTGCACTACAGGCTGTGGTAAATGGCAGATGTGTAATAACTATATTTAGAGCTAGACTTGGTTTAATAGTTTTGTTATGATGAAATATGTTTTGAAAATTTGATTTTGTGGAGGAAAATGTCTTATTACACTAATGAAACTTTCTTATTTTAAAGAAAAAAGTATATACTTAATAAATCATACCTTGAAATATTTTTTTTCAAGTGACAAAGGCATTTTAAAACAAATTCAAAATGGGTGACTTTCACATGCGGTCTGCATTTTTATCAATTTCATGATCGAGTTACCTCCCTTTGAAATCTAAACACCCCTTGCTAATGCTAATCTGTGTGATTTTGTAAAAGTTTTTGTAGCTTTTTCAATGAGAAAGGGTCGTTCAGTCTAGAAAAATTAGACAATTTGCAAATGAAACAAATTGGGAAAATCTGAATGCAAAAATAAATAATGATCAGCCTTTGTCTATTAAGAGCCCATGGCCTGTCTGTCTTGGTAATTCTACCATATCATTTAATTTCACATGAGTTAATATTTAGTAAATTTGTAAATATATCTTATATTTGTTTTAAACGTAGTTATTGTATCAAGTCAAGTCAAGTCAAGTCTGGTTTATTGTATATCAATGTGGTAACAAAAATCATCAAAAAGATGACTATCCCTCCAGTTCCACATAAATCCTAAGATCATTTTTCTGATCCATAAACAAACCCTTACCCGGGAATCAATTCTATATCTAGCCATTGAAATAAAATTTTAGTATTCTGAAAATATCAAAAGGCACCACTTCAGTACTTGGCTGATGCATACAAAGTTTCAGAAAGAATTAATGAACAGTTTTCAAGTTCTGCTCCGGAAACGAAATGAATTACAGACGGATGGACAGGACAGACAGACTGACAGACAAGGTATTACATACTGGTGGGATATTACACATATTTTTCACTGAATAAATGATCATCAAAATCGTTATACATTCCCTAAATCAAAGATTTATCATCAAGTAGGGCAACATATTACAACATATTACACAAGACAGGAAACTTGTACTCTCACTCACTGCATATGCAACTATTCAATACAAACATATCTTCCACTTAGTTCCTTTAACACTTCTCCTTTGAATTTGTGGTTGACATACTGAGTGCAAAGACATTAATGCATGTTTTGGGAGAATTTCATCCATTTCCGGCTAATTTTCTCCACTATTTTTCTATTTATAAAATCACATTGAACACCCTTGACCTTAAATTTTGTTCCCACCGATCAGCAATGATAAGGACACATTTGTGATTTAAAGATTTCATTTTTTTCCACCAAAAGTGAATATTTTATGTACGGTTGTCACTTTTTCTGTTTTGTTTGTTTCTCGAGGTCCTGACGGTGCCATTTTTGTAGGATTTTTCACATGAGATATATGGACAATAAAAATCAATAAAAAATATAGTGTTCTAAGTTAAGGTTCATATGAGATAATGACATTTTTCTTATAATGATATCACATGTTTAGAAAAACCCTTGAGCATAGCTAATGTATGGACGGACGGACGGACGTATCGTGTGTACATCTCCCATTAGCATTTTGGATGGGTTATCAGCTCTTCAATATTACCTTATTGCCACCAAGTGAAACAATTCTGTCTAATGTTAAGTTTTCTTTGATTTTCTTTGGCACATCCACTGATTTAGTTTCCACATTGGAAACACGTGTTTTCTTTTTCGACTTTCCAGCCATTTTCAGGAAGTGGTGAACCGGAAACTGTTACATCGGAAAGACATCGACAAAGTCCGATCGGGGGTAAGTTCTGAATGAAAACGATTTCAGCAGCGCCCTCTATTGTGCAGAAAACAAACAACCGGAGCGATAACTCTGTATGGTTGACACTGAATGTTCGTCCTTGAAAAGAAGGGCAGGAGCTAGACGCAGTCAGTTCACGGACGGAACCCTTTTGACAGGTTGACTGAATCGCTGAGCTGAAGTCAATCGAAAAGCATGGCATCAACTCCTAAGTCCGACCAAGATAAAAGAAAGCAAATTAGTATTCGAGGGATTGCGCCAGTAGAAAATGTATCAAACGTGAAGTCCACTTTCAACAGGCACCTTCACTACACCCTTGTGAAGGATCGAAATGTTGCGACCCCCAGAGACTATTATTTCGCTCTAGCGCACACAGTGCGTGACCACCTCGTAGGAAGATGGATTAGAACTCAACAGTATTATTATGAAATGGACCCAAAGGTGAGAGTTTCTTGAATTTGCAGTTATGTTAATGCAAAACCGGCAAGTTGACACTCAGCTGATTCGGTAATGAAAGGTCGAACCGAATAAGGCTAAGTACAGTGACCTTGACAGTCATATTATCGCTTGGCTTGTATTGTCATAATATTTAAACTGTTAATCACGTGAATGCATCTGACACTCCGAATTTTAGTGCCCTTATCAGTGACCTCTGTTTATTATGTCATATTATTTTCATTAAAACTGGCTTTCTCATGTTATTGTTAGTCAGCAAAAGACAAAACCACTGGCAATGCACTTCCCTTTTACCTCATCATGCTTGAAGGTCTTCTCCATCAGTTTTAAAATAACACACAACCACCTTTACCCTCTCTTTTATCCAGAGGTAAAATTGTGTATTAAATTTTAAAAACCTAAAATTTTAAATCAATGTTTTTTTAGGACAGGGAGACAGTATAAGTATCTCGGAAATACAGGGTTTTATGAGTCCCTCGTAAGGTTGTATTACTCTCGCCTCCGGCTCGGGGAATACAACCTTACTCAGGACTGATAAAACCCTGTATTTCCCGAGACACGATGTGATAACGCATTTAACTAGCCGAATGTTTTTACTAAATCAAAAGAAAACAATATGCATCGAATCGACTTGCTGCCATGTTGACAACAGCTGATCGATTGACCTCAATGCAGCGAACGTTACTACAGGCTTTTCTAACTGCGCGTGGTCACCGAGGCGTGGCGGGATAATATGACTTTTGTACTTCAATGAGTTTTCGTGTGCAAAGGCTTAATGGCCATTAGTATGGACATAACAATGTGAATCTTGCATCTTTATTATCTCACAGTTATTATTCTTTTTTGTGCAAATATAATGTTTAATAGTCTTCTTTGAAGTGCATGGCCTCATAATGCTATTCTTACATGCAATATTATAAGTTATCACATCGTGTCGAGGGAAATACAGGGTTTTATCAGTCCCTCGTAAGGTTGTATTCGGCTCGGGGAATACAACTTAAATTTTTACTGGGAGTCACTTTGGAACCTTTGTACAATGAGAAGGGAATAGTTTCTCAGACATCCTACACTAAATTCACTACACCTTTTACTTTCTGTTATAAGGCAAATCAAGTGCAAAATGATGTACGCAGTCCAGGTATCTTTCATATTTTTGTTGCAACAATATTTGGGCTTGTTTATTTGCAAGACAACACCACATATAATCATGATAATAGACTCTGATCATTTAAAGTATATATATATTGGTCAAGACTATGTGTCTCTGAATGTATTGAGATGAGACGTCTTCAGAACAAATGTTCTTTCCATGGAGAAGTAACTGAGTAGATTAATGTGACTGTAGTTCTCATTGTGTGGTGCAGTGTTGTGAAACATGATCATGCTGACAGACAAGAGAAACTTTGTCATGCCCTAGTGCACATTTCCAGTTGATGTAATAGGTGCTATGTGTGAAACTTGGACATAGGGTTACCACTAACACCTTGATTTTAATTAGTAGGCAAAAGTCGTTTTGATTGTGTCTATTAGATATTCCTTACAATGAAGTTCTCAGGTTATACGCTAATATTGCTAGTCTATCTTAACCTCCATTTGCACATCATCACCTACATTAGACACCGGTTCAAAGTTCAAGTTAAGAAATGTCTTTCCATTTACTCATTTAAGCTGATTTGACTTTGAAGTACGTGAAGAGAATAACTACTGACACGAAAATAATATGTCCAAGGACAGGTTTAGTTTCCAGACTGATAATGTATTGAGTTTGTCTACCTACATTGTAATATGAGTACATGGGATGATGTGCTATACAACATGTGCAGTTGGTTTCAATATTGAACATCCTGTGTTCCCCTATAATTTGATTTTGCACCTTTTTGTCCTGAGTTTGTGTGAGGTAAACTAGGGCATTTTATCACTTCTAAGTTACCCATGACAAGACATGATTGCGTTTGCTAAACACAAAAGTATTGTTTGAATATTTCTGTTTTCTTTGTTTGAGGTGTTCATAATGAACATTTGAAACTGTTGTTCAATCCCATGATCATTTCATTCAGGAATACAAAACAGACGTTTCAGTCTGTTGTTCTAAAGGTACCATGATTTTACTCTAACATCTCTTTCAGAAATAAACATATTTTACCCCAAAGACAACCCAGTTCCTAAACCTTGTCAAGCTTCGAAAATCTAGGCGCAGGGGGATTCTTACCCACACACTCGGAGTCAATCAGCTAATCGCCAGCTCATAAAGCCAGTGATCTAAACCACTCATCCCAAATACAACATATTTTACATTTGATCACTTTCTAAATGTCATTGTGCATTCATTGCATGGCTGCATTGAATATATGAGTGTCAGGGCCTGTATGGCAGACATGATGGTTGGTAGTGGAGTCTGGGAGAAAGTGCCTTGTTATTGTAATATTATCAGTACACCATCCATCCTGAATCAAGGGTGGTGAATATTTAACTGATTTAACATTGTTATAAGATATTTTTCATTGATACATCCTGGCTTCAATATGATAAATAAATTGAAATGACCATTACATTGACCACAAAAATATTTCACCAACAATTCAGTTGTCAAATTTGACACAAACACTATAGCTACGACTGGTAAGAGAGGGATCCGATCGCTTAAAAATGGCCAGTGCTGTGCAGATACTCTTTTTGAGTGATAACAATTAAGGATAGACACAACTGTCCCAATATGTTCTCGTCTCCTTCTCAGCAACCTAGGTTCATCCCTATGAAATTAAGCATGTTAAGAGACTTGAGAGTTTCTTCTGACTCGTGTGTCCAGTGTAGAATGATATTTAACCTTATTCATAACATTATTTCTGAGACATGTTAGTGCAGTGATACTATCTCAGTTACTGATCTGATGGTGTATGTTGAGTAGCCCAACTCCTGATCCAGCAGTACTGACTGACTGACTGAGTTTGGTTTTACGCCGCTTTTAGCAATATTCCAGCAACATCACGGCGGGGGACACCAGAAATGGGCTTCACGCATTGTACCCATGTGGGGATTCGAACCCGGGTCGTCGGTGTGACGAGCTATTGCTTTAACCACTAGGCTACCCCACCGCCCCTGACCCAGCAGTAACCAAGATAACAAGGATGTATATTGGGTTTGATAATAGGATGTCCTGTCCACCAGTTGGGCTGTAGATATGATCAAGCCCTGAACTGAACAGTTATTTGTTTCAGCAATATACTTCCTGGTCGGATGTTGTTGTAACCCATGGTGCTGTTGCACAAAGAAATCTTCTTAGGTTATTCAACTCCCATATCTTAACATAGGCATACTACAGTTGTAATGCTAAGTTTGCTTTGTACACTGTTACCCTAGTCTTAAAGTAAATTCAGCTCACTTACTATCAGGGGCGGTGGGGTAGCCTAGTGGTTAAAGCGTTGGCTCGTAATGCCGAAGACCCAGGTTCGAATCCCCACATGGGCACAATGTGTAAAGCCCATTTCTGGTGTCCCCCACCGTGATGTTGCTGGAATATTGCTAAAAGCCGCGTAAACCACACTCAGTCAGTCACTTACTATCAAAACCTATTTAATATTGTAGACTTGGATATAAGACAAAATAGGTCCAGAATTCTCAAAATCAATTGACAAATGATATTGAAATGGTCATGTCTCCACTTGACATCTAAGTAGATTTTGATGCAGTTTATTGCTGTTAATAACCTGATATTGGTGTACTTCACCATCTTAATTGGTGATAGCTGGATGTTGCTGCAGTGTACCTTGCGATAAATATCAATTGAGTTTACTTTGTTTACTGGTGATAACATTAATATTAATATAGTTTATCTTGTTTACTGGCGATAACATTAATATCAGTATAGTTTATCTTGTTTACTGGTGATAACATTAATATCAATGTAGTTTATCTTGTTTACTGGTGATAACATTAATATCAATGTAGTTTACCTTGTTTACTGGTGATAACATTAATATCAATCTAGTTTACCTCGTTTACTGGCGATAACATTAATATCAATATAGTTTATCTTATTTACTGGCAATAACATTAATATCAATGTAGTTTACCTGGTTTACTGGCGATAACATTAATATTAATGTAGTTCACCTCATTTACTGGCGTTAACTTGATTTTGATATAATTGACAATGTTTATTAGTGATAACTTGATATTGATTTAGTTTGTCAAATTGTATGAGTTTACAATCATGAGCTTGTCCTTCGACAAGATTTTCTTCAAATATTTGTTTCCTTCTGAAGATGTTTAGCTAAACCTGCTAATATCAGGAATATAGTGATAAGTTATCTAACCATTTTTTTGGGGTGACTTGTATTTCACTGAAAACAGGAACAATGTAGAAGCAAGGATTTTTATCCTTTGTTTTTTACAAAAGTTTGTCTGTCAAAGAACCTTAGTTTGAAATCCTAGTGCTATGCATTGGCTGTCATAATTAAGCTTATTGAACTCATAGAAAGTTTTGTGTTAATTAGACTTATGCTTTGGCCTTGTGGTTTAAACATGTGAAGTAACAGACTCATTAATGTGATTTGATATCTGAATTACATAGCACTGTACTACATGCATGCATGCATACATACATACATACATACATACATACATACATACATACATACATACATACATACATACATACATACATACATACATACATACATACATACATACATACTAATATTTGTATAGCGCCGATATCCAACTCAGCTCAGCTGCTCAAAGGCGCTTTTGTTTTTCCCTCGTTCACTGGATGTCAATCTCAACGGCACATCGTATTGTCAATCTCAACTCCCTTGGGAGTATACAACTCTTGCAGCCACTAGGCGCACCGAGTTATTGTGGCATTCCCATCCTTACGAGGTACCCATTCACAGCTGGGTGGCCTGGGACACATAGTCACAGTACTTTGTCCAAGTTTACTGCACGTTGCTGTACCCGCAACTGGGTGTTTGCACGTATTCATGTGC